TAATATCAGTTTTGTGCAATATATTCTCTCTATCTCTTTCTCTCTCTTTCCTCCTTTCTTTCTCACCCCCCCTTCCGCCCATTCTTTTTCATTCTTTCTGTCTGAATATAATAAATATATTAAGTTCTTCCAAAAATTTTACCTTGAGGTTACCTTTTTAGAATTTTTTTCCTACAAGTGGGTATACGATAATATCAGTTTTGTGCAATTTGTAAAGATTCTGTTAGTCTGTCAAATTCTCGAAAACGCTTACAAAACCGAATCATATACAATTTTCTGTGAATATGCGCAATGATATACATATGTATAAGTATATGTATGTACGAATAACTAAGTAGAAAATATGATTTGTTTTCCTTTCGCGTCCTTTATTCAATATATGGGGAGTTTGATGTTATTTTATGTTCAATCAATTTCAATGAATATATTCTATATAGATAGGGAAAGAGAAATATGAAGAAATTCCAAAAATTTCTACCCTATTATAGAATATTCTAGAACATCTTAGAATGTATTCCATATAGTACAAGACTTCATTATTCTGACGTCAAAAATTGCAGAAATATATCTATGTATGTATAATATCCATAAATGTATAAATAATAAGTAAATTAGATAAAGAGATAAATTATTCCTACAATATAACCTTATTTTTTCTTGTCAAATTTCTTGATATGGAAAGTCTTATTGAAATTTGTCGGAGCCATTTGCACGACATTTGGCAAATGTGAAATAAACGATGATATGAAAACAAATTTCATTTGCCACATACGATACCATATCTGTTGTTTGGTGTTTTTCGCATAAACACACTTGTATAAGTGCATTATAGCGTATATTCATTCAGTTAAAAACATGGATTCGGGTTTGCTGACGTTTTAGGCAATGTGACACATCATATTAAGTAAACTATTAACTATTAAATTTGCCCATACAAATAATGAAAATGAGAGAGCAAGCAGTCAAAGCAGCTGCCTATTAAGAGCGTTAACGCAGTTATTAATAATTGTTGAACACGTAAAATGTCTGCCGTAGTAGTATAGTAATTTTGTAACTTGAATTTTGAACGAAATGCTGAACCATCTCGTCATTTAGTTTCGTTGTCTCTGATATGTACATAAAAACAATAAAAAAGAAAAAAATTAAGAGATAAAAGTACAAGTCTTCTTTTTCAATGAAAAAGTGTTAAAATTGTTTTTAAAAAAATGGTTGAGTTACAATTTTTGCATTACTTCCTTTTTAGATTCTCTCTTTTTTTGTGTTTTTCAAGTACATATATAATGTATTTTGCTTTATTTATATTTTTAACTTTTATTCCCATGTCTCACGTTCGTCATTTTTTACAAAATTTTTTCATTTTTATTTTGATATTTTTTATTGTTAAAATTTAAAAAAAAAAAAAAATATATATATATATATATTTGTATATATTTATATAAATATATTTATATATAAATGAAAAAATAAAAATAAAAACAAAGAAAGAAAACATGCTTTAATAATTTTAGTTTAATCATAATTTTATATTTTATCCATCAAAAAAGTACATACTATATTAATAATTAATTTTAAAAGAATTAAATGAGAAATAAAATGTGCTAAAAAAAAAATTGGTTGTGTTGTTTGTCTTTTCTTACTCTTTTGGTTTTGCTTTCTTCACTTCTTTCCTCAACAATTTAAATGTTTTATATATATATTTATATATGGTGTTTGGCTCTTATCTAACATTTTTTTTTTTTCTTATTTTTTTGGTGTACGTGAAATTCTTGCTCTTTAACTCGTATAAAAGTGAGAATAGCATGCAGTAACAAATTAGTTTTGTAATATAATTTGAAAAATACTAATGTTTTAGAATAATTTTGTTTGCTTTATACACCCATGAAAAATTCAAGAAAAACTCGCAAAAGTATAGACATTATATAAATTCCACGTTCGACGAACCAGGCAAATGGCCTTAGAAAATATTTGTATCAAAACATATATCAATCTCTGCTAGAGTTTTTCGTTTATGGCGGCCAAGCCAACCCACCCATTTCCCAACTTGATTTGTGATTGAAATACCGACGAACGTAGAGAACCAATTGAAAAGAATATATAAACTTCATTGGGGATCGATCTCTTTATCTCAAGCAAGATTCAAATGTTATCCAAAAAATTGATGAAAGGAAGTACGTACTCTTCATTAAAATATTTGAAAAGCGTTATATATAATTTTCAAATTTACAAGCGACGTATATATATGTATATACATATATATGCACACAAAGCCATTGCCCCGTAATAAATATGCCAAGACAAGATTTATTGAGTAAAGGAAACTCGCTACTTATATTTTTAGAAGATACAAGACATGAGGGGTGACCGGTTTACAATGAGGATACAATAAATTTTTTACCTCTGTCGGGAGCGTCGAAAAAGCGAAGCAGCTATATCTGCTATATATTGTATTAATTTCTCCACTAAGAACAACATCAAAGCCTATGTAGCGATATTTAATTTCTTTTCTTTTTTTTTTTTATATATATATATTGTGAATCCTTGTCGATAAGTAGCTGCAGAAAGCAAAAATCTCTGATCGTTGAAGTAGGGGAGAAAAACGAAAGAACAGAGAATTAACAAAGATAGAAATGAAGATAAAAGTTTTTTTTTTTTTTATATATGTCTTATTTCTTAGGTTCACAAACCAATACACTAGGTAACGCGAGTAATAATGCAAGCGCTAACGTATCAGGAAATTCTGCAAATGTCTCAACGTCAGTTGCAGGCAATAACGGGGCCGGCGGAGGAGGTAGTGGAAGTTCGGGTTCTATCGAAGCGTCAAATACGACACAATCTGCTAATAATAATGGCAATGGTGGCAACGATGCCCCTTCTGATAATGGAGCAGCAAATACCAGTGGTAGTAGTGGTGGCGGCGGTGCAGCAGTCAGCACACAACAACAACAGACAGCGACGACAATGGGTTAGCGGGATTAAGTTAAGTAAATAAAAAAAAAAGAAAATAAAAATAAAAAAAAAAAAAACTAAATCATATGATAGCTGGCAAGATTTTCATATGGACACAACAACCGGAGAGTTGCTACAGAGTTTAAAATGAGTGCATGAAGGCAAAGTAAGCTAAACATGAAATAAAAAAATATTCTGTATAAGAGTATAACAACCAACAAAAAAAAAAAAACAACAACAACAACAACAACAGCAACAAATATTATAACACTTATATGATTAAAGATTATATTATATTATTAAAGAAAAATGGAAAAAAATCAAACTAAAAAAGATAAAATTCACTTAAAAAGAATTGAACTAAAAACTAATATAATTAAAAGTAAACCTGGTATAATTATAAATAATGAAATGAACTCTACAGATACACCCATACATTCACACGCAATATATATATATATATATATATATATGTATATATATATGTATATATATGTATATGTATATGTATATATAATATATGTATATATATATGTATATATATATATATATATGTATATATATTATATATATATATATATATATACATTCACATACAAAGAGATGTCTAAAGTTTATACCTTATAAAATAGAGCAAAATATATATATACATAAAATTTTGACAAAATTCAAGAAAATTTCTTTATAACGTAAATGAAAAAAGAATCTTAAAAATATAAAAAGCGAATAGGAAAAAATGATAATCGCGTAAAATCTACACTTAAAAAAAAAAAATATAAAAACAAAAGGAAAAGAAAAAATGACATCAAGAAGTAGAGAGAAATTCAATTCATTTAAATCAAAATAACGCAGAAAAATTTATGTAAAACGATAAAATGCATATATAAAGATGAAAAGAATATTTACAAATAATTGCAACAAGAAAATAAATTGAAATCCCTGTTCCAATATATTATTATTTATTTTTTCTTGCACACTACAATTTAAAAAAAAATAAATAAATAAAAAGTAAAAAATAAAAGAACACACTTTAGCAAAAAGTAAAATCGAGATATTTAGAAGAAAAAGAGAAAAAAATTGGACGAATCTTTTAAACCCACAAACTCGCCATTTTACACTCATATATGCATATACTCACCTTAACCCTTTTACTTCCTAGACCACGCCTACATGACTAAACGTTAGCATAGCAATTTAATTTTAACCTAAAAGAATAACCTTAACAACAAGAGAAAATATTATGCAAATAACAAAAAATATTTAAAAAAAAAAATTTAACTTTATAGCTGCAATTGAAACATTTCAAATTAATTTTAAAAATAAAGTTTTTTTTTTTTTTCTTTGAATTTAAGCTAAAACAAGGATTAAAAATAATTTTTAATATTTAATATATCAAAAAAATACATAAAATAATTTTTTTTTTTTTTTTTTTTTTTTTTAGAATATACTCAACACTAATAAAAAGTTAGGATGTAAAACAGTTAAAAAATTAAAATGAAATTCTTGAAAATTCATTAGTTATCATTCTGCGTAAAAGCTCTTCTAATAAGGTTTAGTCTTTGTCTGAAAATTAGCATAAAGTTAAATATTTGAAAATAAAAGTTTACTTATCGTATAGTTAGTGTTGAGCATAAACTGCGGCGACAAAAATCGGCGCTTAAGACGATATATACGTACTTTCTTAAAAAAAAAAATTAATAAATAAATAAAAAACAAATAAGTAAATAAATAAATAATAATAATAATGGTGAAAAGCAAACACGAATTATTGTAATTTACAACAGAAAAATTTGACTTATTTTATTTACCTTACAAAATCATGGAAAAGAAATTGATAAAGCATATATTTTTAAAATATATATTAATATTAAAAATAATTTGTTAGATTTTTATGTTTAAATTTATTTTAATTATAATTATTAGTTTAATATAATTAATATATAATAATGAAAAATGATGAAAAAAAAAAGAAAACAAATCGTATACATGTATAAAAGGAGGAATATGCATTATTATAATATAAAAGATTAAAAATTATGTATTAATTTTAAACGTTAGTTATTATTATTATTATTATTATTATTATTATTATTATTATTATTATAATTTTGGTCTAAGTTAATTTTTATAAACGTGTTAAATTTGTGTAATTTTAACCAAAAAAGAAAGAAAAACAAACCAACAAAAAAAATCTAAACATAACTACAACAACAACAACAACAACAACAATTTTATGCATAAACAATTTTTAGAAGACGTTTGATTTTTTGTTTAGTTTTGCATAAAAACGTGTTTATCTGCAACGTCGCGTCATATAAACGCTATATATTTATAATCTAAAAGAAAGAAAAAGGATAATAATAATAAAACAGCAACCACCACAAAAAAACAGTGAAATAAATATTAAATCATAGCAAGTGTGTAGTGTGGGTGGAAGAAGCGAAGGAAAAAAAAAAAATGATATAAAAAGTACGAAAAAAAAAAAAATAATAATAAAAATAATGAGAACAAAAACTTTACTTATGTTAGTTAATCGTAAATAAAACCCATAAAACAACAAAAATAACATTAAAAAAAAAAATATATTTAAAAATTCACCATTAGTTTTATTTTTTACTGCGACCGAGACATTATATTATATAATAAGTATTTGAAATTTATAAGACAATGGCGCCCTCATCGCATCTTATCGCATTGATGGTATGGCTTTAAGGATATATTACAATTTTAGCGTTAACTGCAAAGCTGATAAGCTTGACCG